TTATTATTAATAACTAACAGTAAAGTCTCTATTCGTGATGTTTTTCTTTCGCTTAACACTTAAATATTGAGTCAAAATGTATTTTAGGGAAACGTTTGACAGAATTTGTTCTTACATTACAGATAACAGTCTATTTGGGGAAAAGAGATTTTGTCGATCACTTAACACATGTCGATCCTATCGGTAGGCAATTATCTCATTAATATAATTAAAGTTTTATTCGTTGGTTAATCTCTAATAATACACATCTATTTTACGATCAGATGGTGTGGTACTGATAGATCCGGATTACCTAAAGGATCGCAAAGTCTTTGGGCACGTATTGGCCGCATTTCGCTACGGGAGAGAAGATTTAGACGTTTTAGGGCTTACTTTTAGAAAAGATCTCTACTTAGCGTCGGAACAAATTTTTCCCCTTAAAGAAGAGACCAATTCCGCGAAGAGACCGCTCACTCGACTCCAGGAAAGACTTATCAAAAAATTAGGATCAAATGCTTTTCCATTTTTCTTTGAGGTTTGTTATCTCTGATCCCTCATTATTATTACCATATATTGAAATGAAATGCTATAACAATGGTTACATGTTTTGATATACAGCTTCCACCTCACTGTCCGGCATCAGTCACTCTACAACCAGCGCCCGGCGATACTGGAAAGCCCTGTGGAGTTGACTATGAGCTTAAGGCATATGTGGCCGAAAATGTGGACGAAAAGCCTCACAAAAGGAATTCTGTTCGACTGGCGATCAGAAAAGTGGTTTACGCGCCTTCAAAACAAGGCGATCAGCCCAGCGTTGAAGTGAGCAAAGAATTCATGATGAGTCCCAATAAACTGCATTTGGAGGCATCGCTGGACAAAGAGCTGTACCATCACGGAGAGAACATCGCCGTCAATGTCCACATTGCCAACAGCTCCAACCGAACGGTCAAAAAAGTCAAAGTATCCGTTCGTCAGTTCGCAGACATATGTTTGTTCTCAACCGCTCAATACAAGTGCTCCGTCGCTGAGATTGAGAACGAGTCAGTCGTTGTTTTATTTATTTTATTCCATGAAATAATTTATTATTAAAATTTAATTTATTTTATCTATCTTTCAGAGATGGATGTCCTATAAGTCCGGGCTTTACATTATCTAAAGTTTATTACTTAAAGCCTCTGTTGGCTAATAATAAAGACAAACGAGGCCTCGCACTGGACGGTCAGCTCAAGCACGAGGACAC